CGTCATGCATATAGCTTTCTAACTACACGCTGACTACACACACACACACACACACACACACACACACACACACACAGGATACCACCTCAGGTCCCAGCACATCTTTTACAGGGGAGACATAATCAGCTGTTGGAGCTCAGGTGTGTATCAGCCTCCCCTGACACGACACCATGAACCCACTGCTCCAGCCGTATGCTGCACCTGAGCCACAAACCACACCCCGCCACAGGATGTTTTACACACAGAGAGCTGACACAGTGTTTTTTATGCAAGTGATCAGTCAGTTATATCTGCACAGATATACAGTTGATATTAAAATACTGATGTCTGTTTAATTACACTTTCAGACATTTGTACCTGAAAACTGTCAGTGGAATAGAGATGCCTCAAAGAAAGAGCCATCAACTGGGTGACCTCCAAGGGCTGCTGCCCCCGATATCTGCACCAACCACATCAGACACGGCACCAACACAAGTTAGGACAGGTCTCGGTAAGACAGATATTTTTTTTCTTTTCTTTTAACACACTACTCTGATATGTAATTCAAATTTTTGTCCTTTCTGGATATCATTTAGGTTTTTTCCAGCACTGGGCACAATGGAATTTGGGAACCTGTTAAAAATGTGTTAATGTCTTCTCTTTTTTTCTTTTCCCCTCAGTTTTGTACATTTCAGTCAAGAGCCAGAGTGAACTACAGTTATCAATAAAGTTTAGTTGCCAAAACATGAAAGAAAAAACATTTCTCTTTGTGTACTGGACCACGTGTGACTGCAGTCATGGCTCAAATGCTGAGCTAATTAAGTCTTGAAGGATACTTGGGGGAAGGTGAAAGACACCTCCAGTACAGCGAGGTGATGAATTCATCACAGCATGTAGCTCTCTCCCGATCACAGCTTGTCCTTTGTTGATGAAGAAATTTTAAAACAGGATTCAGGACATCCCTACAGCTGCAACAAGTTACAATTTTTTCTCACTGGAAAATTTTTTTTAAAATATTAGTCAAAGATTTAAAAGAATTCTTGTCATACAAAGTGAATAAATTAAAGAGCTCCATGAAGAAATATCTAATAAATAAATACATGCAAATGTTTTTATATGAGGGGGTGGAGTATTTCAGTACCTGTCCTTCTGTTGTCTTCTTCCCTTCAGCCTTTTTTAAATATATTAAAATATTGTTCAGAAATATTGTCAGGCAGGATGATACACCTGTTTTAATGTGAGGTCATAGCTGGATTCATGGACTGGCAATGCGTTCTGTGGTATTAGTGTGTTATAGGATTACTTTTTGGGTAATGAAATCTGAATGGAGATGGAAACGTTTTAGTGATTTTTGATTATTAAATTATTATTGATTCTTTCTAAACGGGTGACAACTTTCAATCATATTTAAGCTGCTGGATAAAAGTGTGAATGTAGTCCCATCTATCCATAATATAAATGTGTGTTTCAATGTTGCCTGCAGATGTCCAGCAGATGTTGTTACTTAAAGAAGAGAGCTCAAGTCATGATCAGCAGGATTTGGTCCTCCTCCACATAAAGGAGGAAGAAGAGGAACTCTTGACCAGCCAGGAGGGAGAGCAGCTTCGTGGTCTACAGAAAGCTGATATCACCAGTTTCCCCATCACTGCTGTTTGTGTAAAGAATGAAGATGATGAAGAGAAACCTCACCTCCTACACTTTCATCAAACACCAGCTGAAGACAACAGAGAAGCCGAGCCTTCAACCAGCAGCTCAGTCAAACAGATTAAAGCAGAAGGTGATGGAAAGGACTACAAAGAGCCAGAACCAGCCACAAACCTGAATCCAAATAATAATTTACAACCCAATATTAATGTAAAACGTTCAGACTTGTATGAAGCTGATGATTGGCAGGAACCCCTGACAGAACCTGAACCTGAAAGTGAAGATAGTGAAGAGTCAGGTACAAATAGTGATGCCAAAAAGCCCTTTATCTGTTTTGAGTGTGGTAAGCAGTTTCTCCATGACTGGTCACTTCAGAGACACATCAGACTGAAGTCAGGGAAAAGAGCTTCAAACTGCGATGTCGGTGACAAAAGCTCTGGAGTGAACCAAAATGCAGATTCACAGGGGACAGTTCAAACAGAAGAGAAACCATTTGGCTGTGATGTTTGTGGACAAAGGTTTCAGCTGAATGTGAATCTTAAGGTGCACATGAAAGTCCACACTGGAGACAAACCATTTAGTTGCAATATCTGTGAAAGAAAGTTTAGACATCAGTGTAACCTTAAGACACATGTGAGAATTCACACCGGAGAGAAACCATTTGGCTGTCGCCTTTGTGATAAAAAGTTTACACAGAGTGTACATTTAAAGACGCACATGAGAAGCCACACGGGAGAGAAGCTATTTTTTTGTGACGTCTGTAGTAAAAGCTTTTCACGACTGAGGATTCTGAAATCGCACAAGAGAGTCCACACAGGAGAGAAACCATTCGACTGTGATGTTTGTCATAAAAGATTTTCACATCTAGGTGATCTGAAGAGACACAAACGCGTCCACACGGGAGAGAAACCTTTCAGCTGTAGTGTTTGTGGTAAAAGATTTGCACAGAGGATGCATTTCAAGACACACATGAGAATCCACACAGGAGAGAGACCTTTCGGTTGTGATGTTTGTGGCAAGAGCTTTAACTGTAAGAGAAATCTGAAGACACACATCAGAGTCCACACGGGAGAAAAGCCATTTGGTTGTAATGTTTGTAATAAAAGATTTTCACAGCCAGGAATTTTAAAGAGACACATGAACATCCACACAGAAGTTAGGAAATTTGTACCCGGTAAATCAAGAGGAGTCTATTTGAGGTTGCTCAAATCTAAACCAGCCACATCAGAAACGGAGCAGCTAGCCATCAGAAACAGACAAGGTAAGGGATTAACTTTCCTCATACTTTTGGTTAAATACCATTTAAATAACAATTTCTCCCAGTGCTGTTTCTTTAATGTATGACAGCACTTTCTTCAGGAAGGCTCGGTACCATGGTAATTTTTCCAGTGTCAGTGCCATTTAAGGTTTGGGACTTAGACCTAATTGAATCACAAATCCAAAGGGAATAGATTCATAAGTCAGATTAATGTGGATGTCAATGGAAGCACCAGTGAGACACAGTTTAGAAAAAGGCCAGCAGTGAAAATAATATTAACGATGTGCCTGTGATTCTGTGTGGACCCAGAAACATGTTTCCATAGGAGGAAATGACGTTTCAGTGTTAAGAAACCTTTTGCCAAATTTTAAATATGAGCAAACCCTAATGACAACAACGGCAGCACTTACTCTACAGTAAAATTTACACAGTAAAATTTGCTATGTCTGCCAAACTGATTTCATATTTTAAAATGCACAATAAAACAGAACAGCAGATTTACATTTTTACCTGTAGTCTGAGATGCCTTCGTAGACTATGTATGTATGTGTATTTGTATGATTACAAACACAAACGCATAGTATGCATGTAGCCACACCTGTAAAAGTGCAGAAATATCCATTTTTATATCCATCTAATAATGCAAAGCACCACCCAAAGCACAGCTACATTTAATACATTCATAAAGTGCTTCCCATCTGTGGCCAGGTTATAATCCCCAGTTAACCTAACCTGCATGGGTTCAGATTTTTTATCCTTCTTTTTCATTTTATTTTGTATCTTGTTCTGAACGCAGCCTTCTGATACTACCAGGTGCAGGTGATGTCCTTAAAACAATTTTAAAAAAGATAGTGGTATTTTCATTTGCAATTTGTATGTTTGCAGATGGCATTGTGATCATTGTGAGAGTAGCTACCAGGCGGAAGAGAGCATGGAGTGGTGGTCTTATGCTCTGAAGAGCAATATAATGAAAGGAATGTGTGAATAAGAAGGAGACATGGAAAGGTGAACCTGCAATGAGCACAGGTATTAAAGATAGATGAGTTTAAATACCTGGGGTCAGCCACCCAAAGGTGAAGAAGAGAGTGCAGGCAGGGTGGAGTGGTTGAAGGCAAGTGTCAGGGGTGATTTGTGATGGAAGTATCATTTGGAGATGGTGGGACTGACAAAAAGGTGGTAGACAGTGGAGGGATAGTGGATAAGCTGGACCAAGGATGCTGAAGATGGAGGTGCCAGGCAGGTGCAAAAGAGGAAGACCACAGGGGAGGTGAAGGAGGATGTGCAGAGGGGGTGATGTGACAGAGAAGGATGCTGGGATAGGGTGAGATGATCTTCTATGCACCCCTAAAGGGAGCAGCTGGAAGAAGAAAAAAAAGAAAATTGTAACAAAATATTTATTAACAAATGCATTTGATGCTATGTGATCCAAAGTTTGTTATAATTTGTAATCCAACAATGATTACTAGCTAATTAAAAGACAACTGGTGGAACCAGGGTAAAAGACTTGGTCCAGTTTTGTTGTTAAAATCCACAAAATAGATCAGCAACAATTTGTTGTTCATTTTATTTCATATATTAAAGCTGCTGAGGATATGTGTACTTACACCAGGTCTCCATAATGTGCATTTGTTTGAATGTATCCTGCAGCTATCCAGGTTGATGAAGGTGTTTCCTCAAACCCCAGTCTGGAGCAGAAGGACCCAAACCTCCTTCACATGAAGGAGAAACAGGCAAAACTCATCAGCAGTCAAGAAGGAGAGCAGCTTAATGGTTTGAAGGAGGCCAGCCTCTCACAGCTTCATCAAAGACTGACCAAGGACCACTGTGAGGCAGATGTTCCATTCTTTAGCTGCTCTGAGTGTGATAAACAATACCTCTACAAGCGATCTCTTCAGAGGCACAAGAAAAGTCATTCAGCAGAAAACTCTGCCAGCTGTTTGGTTAATAAGAAAGCTTCCAGACTGGAGGAAAATGTAGTTGACACAAGCAAGAAAATATTTGGATGTGATATTTGCGAACAGCGATTTCATCAAAAATCCCATCTTAAGACTCACATGAGAATTCACACAGGAGAGAAACCCTTTAGTTGTAATATTTGTGGAAACATATTTAGACATCAGTACAGTCTCGACAGACACATAAGAGTCCACACAGGAGAGAAACCCTTTGCTTGTGATGTTTGCAGTAAAGGTTTTTCACATCTGTGGGATCTGAAAAGACACAAAAGTGTTCACACAAAGAGCCTTCCACCCGAGGAACCCAAAGATCTTGATAAGGTGGCCCCTATTTCACCATCAGCTATATCAGAATTAGTGCAGACACAAGTCAAGAAGGATGTAGGTAAGTGAGATATTTGTGTTTGCTGGAGATTAAAGAAATGTAAACTATTTCCACAAAACTGTGTAAAAACTGCTTTGTCTATTCTTGCTGTTACATTACTGGCAAAGATTACAAAGGATTACTAACTTTTGCAAGATTAATTTTTGGATTCCTGCTTCCTATTGTTATGATAAAATTACCTCCTACTATAAGTCGGAGAACATCTTACCAAACTACCAGTTTAAAAGTGTTAATAAGATCTGTTAAAAACATTTGCAAACTGTGCTGAAAATTAGGCTTAAAAAACCCTTTTTTGTATGGAAGTTAAACCTTCTCCTCCCAAAGAGTCATTGGGTGTCTCGCTCTCTTATATTGTCTATTATTATTTGAAATATTAGAATCTTTAAAAAGTTCTTAAATTATACAGGTGTGTGTAAACAAGTGAATAGCACTTTACACTTAGTAATATTTATACCCTTTATTTATCTGCTTTGTTGTATTGCCAGAATACAGATAATTTCTCCTAAACAATTATGGAAAGATGGGAAGTCTGGGCTTCTCTGCTCAGACTGCTGCCCCTGTGTTCCAAACCAGCAGTGGAAAATGAATGGATAGATATTATACAATATTATATTAGAAAAGAAAAAATAGACATACCAATTATGGTTAACCCAGATGATGACCAATATAAAACTATTAAGATAGAATTAATGAAATTGATTTAAAAGAGCCTAGGGCTCATAAGATCAGAAAAATATTTATTAGGGGTATTTTAAAATGTTCAAACTCTGTTTCATGAAGGCATGGTGTCATGTATCGCACACACATTGATAAATATATATTCATATTCCATCCCTGCATCCATTTTCTTCCAGTTATCCTTATTTTCCTCAAATATAAAGCTATTGCTTTTGTTATGTGACCCAGTGGTTCAACTTCTATTGTCAAATGTACTCTTAACTGGCTAACTAATAACTGACCTGACTTTAACCAGCAAGTTAGAGTACATTTAATAATAGATCTTGAACTGAGGATGGTTCAAGATGGTTCACTGTTCCCTGCAGATGTCCAGCAGATGTTGCCAGTTAAAGAAGGGCTTCCTTGGACTCCAAGTTTCGACCAGCAGGACCCAGACCCACTCCACATAAAAGAGGAAGAGGTGGGACAGAAGCGTAACAGTCTGGATGAGGCTGATATCATCAAGTTTCCATTCACTGGTGAAGATGATGAGTTTGTGCAGCTTCATCAAAGCACAGGACAAACAGAGTCTCCAACCAGCTTCTCAGCTAAGGAGATTAAAGCAGAAAGTGATGAAGAGGATGGGGGAGGACCAGAACCAGCCTCCTACTTAGAACCAAATGTTAATTTACAAGCAAATGCTACTGGAAAGGCTTTAGACTTTCACCAGACAGACGTTGATGTTAAATGTCATGTGCCTCTTTTAAATTTTGAATCTAAAACTGAAGATGGTGAAAAGGGTTGGAAGGAGAATGGGCCATGTCAGTCAGAGGTAAATAGTGATGTGGGATGTAAGGCCGCTGAAAAATCCTTTAGCTGCTCTGAGTGTGGTGAGCATTTTTTCTGCAATCAGTCTCTTCAGCAGCACAGACAATGTCAATCGGGAAAAGGGAATTCCAGCTGTTTGGTCGATAAGAAATGCCTTAAAGTGAAGCAAAATGCAGAAGAGAAACTGTTTTGTTGTGATATTTGTGGACAAACATTCAACAAAAATGCAAATCTTAAGGTCCACATTAGCGTCCACACAGGAGAGAAACCATTTAGTTGTAACATCTGTGAAAAAACATTTGGGTATCATTGTAGTCTTAAGACACACATGAGTCCACACAGGAGAAAAACCATTTGGTTGTAGTTTGTGTGATAAAAAATTCTCACAGAGGATACATTTAAAGACGCACATGAGTGTCCACACTGGCACAAGACCGTTTGTTTGTGATGTTTGTAGCAAAGGATTTTCACAGCTCAGGATTCTGAAGTCACATATGAGCATCCACACAGGAGAAAAGCCATTTTACTGTGAAGTTTGTCCTAAAAGATTTTCAAAAACAGGGGATCTAAGGAGACACATGATTGTTCACACTGTGGAGAAACAATTAAAATCTGCTGATTGTGACAAACAATTCACACAGAGGATACATTTCAAGATGCACATGAGCGTCCACACAGGAGAGAGACCATTTTGTTGTGATACTTGTGGTAAAAGGTTTAATTGTAACAGAAATCTTAAACTACACAAGACCTTCCACACGGGAGAAAAACCATTTGTTTGTGAAATTTGTGGTAAAAGACTTAAGTGTGACAGAAGCCTTAAGATACACATGAGCGTTCACACAGGAGAGAAACCATTTGGTTGTGCTCTTTGTAGTAAAAGTTTTTCTCAGTCAGGTATTTTGAAGAGGCACATCAGAATCCACACAGGAGTGACACCGTTCAGTTGTTACATCTGTGGTAAAAGATTTAACTGTAAGGGGATTCTTAAGTTGCACAAGCGTGTTCATTCATAAGAAAGGCCATTTGTGATGTTTTTGGCAAAAGATTAAAGTCTAACAGCAATCTTAAGAACCACTTAAGAATTCACACAGGAAAGAGACCATTTGGTTGTGACATTTGTGTCATCAGATTTAATGAAGAGGGAAGTCTGAAGAGACACATGAGATGCTGTCATGTAATTGTGGGGAAAGATTTATGAAATTTCATAGTTCCGGTTTCAAAAGAAAATATGTAGATGATCTAAGCTGTGCAATTTTGGCTTTAGTTAAACTAGGAACTCGTCAGTTAAATAAAGTCTGCAGTAAGAGTATGGAGATGTTGCTTTCATGGTGTTAATCTGCTAGGAAGTCTACGCATCAGGTGCAGTGGCATGAAAAGTAACAGAGTCAAAGCAGGGAGGAATTCATTGTGGATCACTCACAGCATTTTGTTCCAGGAGACTGGGCTCTTTGTGAAACCAAAAAAACAGCATTTTTTAACTTAATTAATGTATCACTTTCTTTTAAAAGTCTATTTCAAATCTAGGTTTGGATGTGTTTTGATAACAAAATCATTTGGTTAGTTTTAGGCAAAAAACCAGGCCAGGTCAGGGTTAAAATCGACCCATTCACATAATTCTCTGGTAGAAAACTGTAGGAAGCTGTCACTCATATGCATTCTGACTGCATGGCTCCAGTGATTGTATGGATTGGAACAAATTAGTCTACAGATGCTTAGTTTGTTATGTCATCCAAAGGTTTGCTTCTTGGTGATGCTGCATGGTCACGCATGTAAACTGTTCTGGAACATAATCTAACAACCAAGACTGTCTGACCAGCACAGTTTTAATAAGTTTAACAGCCTCTGATGGAATAAAGAAAATATCTTGGTCTATAAACTCTGTTTTGTTACTAGAAACATTCACCCATGCACCATTTTACACAACAGTGGCATTTCCTGCTAATGGCAACATCATCTTTGTGAATTTTAAAATAATATTAAAGTGGAACAGTGGATAGACCTGTTGCCTCACAGGAAAAAGTTTCTGGGTTCAAATCTAGGAAAAAGATGGAAACTTTTTGTTCTACCTGGGCCTGCAGGACCTCTGTCCGAATGCTCCCCACCATGGTCCTACAGCAGGGGTGGGGAACTCCAGGCCTCAGGGACCAATGTCCTGCAGGTTTTATATGTGTCCTTTATCCAACACAGCTGATTTAAATGGCTAAATAACCTCCTCAACATGTCTTGAAGTTCTGCTGAGGCCTGGTAATGAACTAATCATTTGATTCAGGTGTGTTGACCCAAGGTGATTGTGGTGGAATTAAGGCACGGGGGGGACCACAGATCTGTGTTTTGAGTAGAGATGGCACGATACCACTTTTTTATGTCCGATACCGATATCATAAATTTGGATATCTGCCGATACCGATATGAATCCGATATAGTGTTTTTTTAATCAACAAAACTGTTTTTTAAATATCTTGCTGCATTTTGTATAAGTTCATACTCAAGTTTAAAACAACAACTACACTAAAGCTATTCTGTTATACCTGTATGCAAAAAAAAATATTTCATAGTTCAGCAATACTGATCAATCTAATAAACTTAAACCTACACCATCCTCCCTATTCTGGTATTTTAAAGAGTACTTAGCATAAATATTAAGCAACCTAACTAATAGGGTTCCAACTCCCAGCAACAACAAAAATAAATAAATAAAAAATAGGGAACCACCCCTCACGCTCCACCTCATGATGCTTAATCGACGTAATCAACCTTAATTTGATGCAGTGTGAAAAAAAATACACAGAAATCAATTCTTTTTCAAGAAATATTAAATACATTCAACTTCTTTCTTCAACAAAATTGCAGACTGCACAGATGGTACCTTCCCAAAGGAAAAAGTACTATAGCTTACTAGGGTATATTAGACTTAACAGTTACTATATACAATAATGGACTTCTATACATTTTACATCAGATTAAAACTTTGGGTATAAGATTCAGATAAATATTAAATAATTAAAAGCTAGACATTTTAAATGAGAATAAGAAAGAAAAGTATGTCTTTGTGCCCCCTTTTCCCTGTTAATGCCCTATCGGCCCCCCTGGCTAAACTTTGCTAGATCCGCCCCTGCACAGTTACCAGCGTAGAAAAAGATCCTCGAGTAGGAAGTAATATTAAATACATTCTAACAACAGCTTATCAAGCTTAAACGTGCTGCTGTTGTTTATCCACTGGTTTCCTCTTTCTGGTGCAAAGTGGGCCAAAAGCAAACAAGAGACAGGGACTCGCGACAGAAAAGCCGATCAGCTGATCGTTAAGCAGTTTCATGATTGAAGTAGCAGCCGGAGAGCGAGAGGCAGTCGCTCGTTAAGCTTAACGCAGGAATGCTTTACAAACATTCAGAGATGGACTTACACACTTGCTTTACTTCTCTCGGGGGATAACTTTGTCGGAGATTAAATGCCGGGTTGCTAGCGAAGCTCCACATGCTATCCAGACCACCAACAGGTCCTGCATGCCACAGCTGCTCTATCGCGTGATGCATACTGCTCCGACGTGCTAACGTTCTGAGGTGAGTTACGGCGTGTTGCAAGTTTTGTGAGGTGCTTTCGTGATATTTAATGGATCGATTACATTTTTTATTTTTCTCCGATATCCGATCCAGTAATTTAGGTCAGTATCGGACCGATACCAATACGTAATATCGGATCGGTCCATCTCTAGTTTTGAGCCATCTTTATTTAACATTTGTCACACCACCACATCAACCACCAAGCCCTGAGTCCCCGTGTTTTAACACGGTGGGTGTGATTGCGGGTGCCGTGCAGGTGCGTCCGCACGGCACCGCAGAACACGCCACACCACATACCCCCATCGCCCGATTGAGGCGATGTCTTATTCTGTGTGATGGATGCAAAGTAGAGCCAGAATTGCTCAATTAGTGAAAGAAAACATGAATCTTGGCACAAGTGTTCTTTTAAGTAGACAGAGCCATGGAGCCACCAGGTTCCTTAGCAACAGTTGCTAGGAAACTTAATTATCGTCACAACCTGATGCATCCTATCTGCTCTATTAAAGGTGGTGCTAGGTTACAGAACATCAAACCTTTATGCAGACATGTATTATAGGAAAACTCGTCAAAAATACAAACAGATGTTTGCTTTCCTGCTAAAGAAAAAACAATGAATTCATTTATATCACCATCTCCTTCATTAAAACATGTTTATCTTCAAATTAATATTAGAAACCATTTATACACGAGTTCATAATTGTTTTCATAATGTAACAAATTGAAGTTGTCTATTAGCCAAGTTGCCCTAGCAACCAGATTCGTGAAATTGCATAATGTGCAGTGCTGCCGCCTTCCTGATTTCTTACTTTTTTGCATATTTGTTACACTTAGATGTTTCAGATTATTAAGCAACTTTTAATACTAGACCTAGATAACAATTGTAAATACAAAATGCATTTTTTTTTTAAATTATGATTTTATTTATTAAGGAAAAAAGCTATCCAAACCTGACCCTATGTGAAAAGGTAATTGGCTCCTTAACCTGATAACTGGTTGTGCCATCACTGGCAGCAACGGTGCAGGGTTTTCCATCATGAACGACCTGTTTAAGATCACACCAGAGCGTATGTGATTTAAGTCCAGACTTTATCTAGAATTTCGGGTTCTTTTTGGTCAGCAGTGGTTTTCTCCTTGGAGCTGTCCCATGAATGCCATTTTGCCCAGTCTCTTTCTTTTTCTTGAATCATTAACTGAGGGCAGTAATGAGTAGTAGTTAGGGTCTGGGGATCAGCAGCGAAAAAAAACTATTCTATTCTATTATAATCTATTTTATTTTATTCTTTAAACAATCAGGAAGATGGCAAATACTTTGACACAGCACTGTATAGTGAAACCTGCACACTTAAGTTGTCCTCTTGTCAATAACAGGTACCATAGTGAAAGAAATTTTGAAACCAATATTTAACAGTATAAATGGGTAACACATTTGCAAAAGCAAATCACTGCTTTGGTTAGGATTGTCTACACAGTACAGTTTTGTAGCCTGCATCAGTTGAACGTAGTATATATCATGATTTACTGTACACTTTTGAGGCTTTATTTAAATTTTTTTTTTGGCTAATTTACAATCACAGATGTTCCTGATGTGCATGTGTTTGGGAGCAAGCTGGAGTAGCTGAAGGAGACTCCAGGGACAGGAAGAACGTGTAAACTTCTGCTAGGATCTCAACCAGGAATCTTGTTGCTGTGAGGCAACACTGCCAGTCCACCTCTGAGCCATCCCATTAACAACTGTTACTTGCTATCAAGATGATAAAGTACACAGGTCACCTACTCAACCCTGTGGTTCAAACCAGTACACTGAAATCAAAAGAATTCATTTGATTAATAAAATTTGAATTCATGCATCCCATGTCCTGGTTGCAAAGAAAAACATACTGCTTAGTAATCGTTACTATGCAATAACCAGAAACTCCTGGAATTGTCTATGATGATGATACGGTGAATGCATGGTTACATATTTTTTGCAGTTGGTTTGACTCAAGTTGAGACTGGAGTGAGATAAACTTGTTTGTGTATGTTTTTTCTTTCTTTTGTGGGTTTCTTTTCAGGAGGTGACACAAACATAGTCTGTTATATCATATTGTCCAAAGCTTTATTCAGCATTTTTTCTGTTTCTTTTTTACTATGTGCACAATGATGCTTTGCTTGTCCCTTTGAGTAACATTGTTGGTTATCAACAAAATAAAATACAAAAGAAAAAGGAATACAGTATTGGAAAGTAACCAAGTAAATTTAATTAAGTATTATATTTAAGTTCACTTTTTATGTTTTCTTTTTTGGCCGTTTCCTTTAGGATCTTTAGGGTTTCCATGGTCGATCATCTACCTGTCGCACCAACTCTCTGCATGTCCTCCTTCACCACATCCATGAATCTTATTTGAGGTCTTCCTCTTTTCCTCCTGCCTGGCAGCTCCATCTTTAACATCCTTTCTTTACTATCCCTCCTCTGTGCA